TTTTTTTTCTGAGGTAAATGTGACGTTACATTTTTTAAAAGCCGTTATATTGAGGTCTTTGCGCGGCTGAAACACTGATTGAGTGATTACACGAGACAGGAGACGGATTGTAAAGTCGTACTCTTTCTTTTAACTTGCCTTCGGATGTTTAGTCATGTTTATTTTGTGCTATAACTAGTAATAAAGCGGAGGAGATGATCAGTTCAGCGATCACTCCAGATTAAACGGCACCAAAACAGCATTTATTGTTTGAATCCTGCAATACAACGGACATCATTTGAAATCTACCGAAGCACAATGATTATTGCGATATATGTGAGCCTGCAGCACAAAAGCAGTGTTAAGTCGCTGGGGGATATTTGTAGCAATAGCCAACAATACATTGTATGGGTCAAAATTATACATTTCTCTTTTATGCCAAAAATCATTAGGATATTAAGTAAAGATCATGTTCCATGAAGATATTTAGTAAATGTCCTACCGTAAATATATCAAAACTTAATGTTTGATTAGTAATATGCATTGCTAAGAACTTCATCTGAACAACTTTAAAGATGATTTTCTCAATATTTAGATTTTTTTGCACCCTCAGATTCCAGATTTTCAAATATTGTCCGATCATAACAAACCATACATCAATGGAAAGCGCATTTATTCAGCTTTCAGCTGATGTATACATCTCAATTTTAAAAAAATTTACCCTTATGAAGGTAACTTCCAACAGCACTAAGTTTGTGTAGTTGGTTATGTTGACGGAAGTTAGCCTATTTTCAGGCGCTGCGTAATATCACTGCGATTCGAAAACGGTGAAACTCAACGGTTTAACTCCAGGGGAGTTGCGATGTATACATCTGAATTTTAAAAAAATTTACCCTTATGAAGGTAACTTCCAACAGCACTAAGTTTGTGTAGTTGATTATGTTGACGGAAGTTAGCCTATTTTCAGGCGCTGCGTAATATCACTGCGATTCGAAAACGGTGAAACTCAACGGTTTAACTCCAGGGGAGTTGGAAAATGAGCCTATTTTCAAAAATAGTGCAGTGGTCCTTTAACTGAAAACAGGCTAGACTAATCGAGGGATTTTAGGAATTGATATTGTTTCGTAAAAATGAGAATCGATTCAATATTATGCAAGCTTAAGCTTTTAATCGTTTGACAGCACAGTCTGTCTTCCCTGGTCTTTGTGTTCAGGGTGATCTGCGGCTCTCGCGTGCGCGTCGAACTCTCCACCGGAATGCCGCGGCGTTCCCGCTTTGACCGTCCACCGACCCGGCGTCCCTTCGACCCCAGCGACCGCTGCTACGAGTGCGGCGAGAAGGGCCACTACGCTTACGACTGCCACCGCTACGGCCGGCGGCGCTGGAGCAGGTACAGCCGACCGACGCGGTCTCTGATCAGTAGCACTGCTGTTCATCTGCTGTTTCCTTGTGATGTTGTTCTCTCTCTCTCTCTCTGACTGCTTGACTTCTGTTGGATTTGCGGGTTAACGGGGGGATGTGTTGTTGTTCTCTGCACTGATGTTTTCTCCAATGTTCTTTGGGATTTCATGTAATGACTGACCTGGTCAAAACCTTTCAGGTTTCATCGTTTGATTCAGAGAGTCACGATCCTTTACGATTTCTTGAGGCATCTAGCAAATCCCATATGACCGGGGCACGAGCAGCCACACCCCTTCGCTGAGGCTCCTCCCACTGCTACTTAACTATTCGTAGCCCCTCCCCCAACCCAAACCAGATGAGAGCGCCAATCCGAGTAAATTCGGCTAGCGATTTGTGCTTTTGATAAAGAGAGCATCGAGACCTCGGCAGAAAAAGCGCCTTGCACACTTCTATCAAGTCTCAATCAAGCGATTTGGCTGTCAGTGCGGTCATCGTTAGAAATCCAAGAGAACGACTAGATGCAGAGGTCGGCTGATGATAGATACTTCTAGATCGTCTAAATCTGCTAGACCTCGGTTCCAAAGAGGGTCGACCTGCAAAGTTGCAAGGTTTATTTCAAGTACCAATTAATGTGTCTCTCTGTATATCATTGCCTGAACTCAAAGCAGTCGTAATGTTTAATGCTGTAAACTTTTGTAATATCTGTTGGATGCTTTAGAGAGTTCCAGGGCTGGGCGATATAACACTCTTATTTCGTGTAGATATTGCTGAATTATCGCTTCTCCAATTTTTTTGAATCAGAGAAAAATCACCGTTGCCAGTTACAGTCAAACATTTTATTGCAAAAAGTTACATATTTATTTAGATGACAATCATTGCATAAATTAAATGACTTTTTTTATAATATAACAATGCGAAGTAATAAATTAAAGATATTTTTACTGAAACTTTTTAAACTTTTAGTGTCATTGAGATACTATTATAGTTTTTAATTGAGAATTATCTATTGTTTTTATATTTTCCGTTCTTCATTTTAATTTATTTAAAGTTTTAGTTTTTTACTAGTTGATTTTTATATGTATAGTTATATAGTTTTATTAATTTTAGTATCAGTTTTAGTTCAAGTTAAATTAAATGAAAATGCAAAAAATTAAAAGGAAAGAAAAAATTACTGAAACTTAATAAAAAATTGAGTGTTATTTTAGTATCATTGAGATGGTGTTAGTGTTTTTTATTTTTGAAGTAGCTTTTGTTTTTATATTTTTCATTTTAATTTTAGTTCAAGTTTTAGTTTTTTGTCATTTGTACTAATTTATATACATATATTAGTGCTGTCAAACGATTAATCGCATACAAAAAAGTTTTTGTTTATATAATATATATGTGTGTTCTGTGAATATTTATTATGTATATATAAATACACAAATGCAGTATATATTTTGAAAGTATTTACATGTCTATATTCATATAATTTATATTATACATAAATATATTTAATATATAAACATAACATATTTTTCTGAAATATATACATGCATGTGTGTATTTATATGCATAATAAATATACACAGAACACACATATATTATGTAAACAAAAACTTAAATTTTAATGCGATTTAATCGTTTGACAGCACTATTATATATAGTTTTATCAATTTTAATTTCAGTTTTAGTTCGTTAAACGAAATGAAAATCAAAATGTTGCCTACCTAACTGAAGTGTAAAAAATATATATATTTTATGTTTTATTTATTATTTTATTTCGAGTAATAAAGTGTTTATTATGGTTTTAGCGGTCTATAATAAGGTGGATTGAACGGTTGGTGTGCATCAGAGTAGTGAACTGAACTCGTGCGGTTGAAGCGCTGTCGTATGGTCCAGCCCTGTTGTGTACTGTAGCTGTAATGTTAAACTGTAATGTGAGTGTTTAGTTTAGTTAGGTCAGTGCCTGAGGGTCACAGCAGTCAGTCAATCTGTGACACTGACACACGTCTCTCTCCTCTGGACTCGGACAGGTCTCGCTCTCGCTCTCGCTCTCGGTCCAGAGGGAGGAGATACGGGCGCTCTCGCAGCCACAGCAGAGGGAGGAGGTGTGTGACATACCTGTGCGTGTGTATCTGTGCGTGTGCGTGCGTGTGTGTGTGTGTGTGTGTGTGTGTGTGTGTGTGTGTATGAGCAAACGTGTGTGCACCTTGATCACTGCTGGGAAACTTTCAGGCCTGGGGAAAATGTGTTGCCATGGAGACACATCTATAGGTCAGTGCCTGAGGGTCACAGCAGTCAGTCAATCTGTGACACTGACACACGTCTCTCTCCTCTGGACTCGGACAGGTCTCGCTCTCGCTCTCGCTCTCGGTCCAGAGGGAGGAGATACGGGCGCTCTCGCAGCCACAGCAGAGGGAGGAGGTGTGTGACATACCTGTGCGTGTGTATCTGTGCGTGTGCGTGCGTGTGTGTGTCTGTGTCTCTTGTGTCTGTGTGTGTGTGTGTCTGTGTCTCTGTGTGTGTGTCTGTGTCTCTTGTGTCTGTGTGTGTGTGTGTCTGTGTCTCTGTGTGTGTGTCTGTGTCTCTTGTGTCTGTGTGTGTGTGTGTCTGTGTCTCTGTGTGTGTGTCTGTGTCTCTTGTGTCTGTGTGTGTGTGTGTCTGTGTCTCTGTGTGTGTGTCTGTGTCTCTTGTGTCTGTGTGTGTGTGTGTCTGTGTCTCTGTGTGTGTGTCTGTGTCTCTTGTGTCTGTGTGTGTGTGTGTCTGTGTCTCTGTGTGTGTGTCTGTGTCTCTTGTGTCTGTGTGTGTGTGTGTCTGTGTCTCTGTGTGTGTGTCTGTGTCTCTTGTGTCTGTGTGTGTGTGTGTCTGTGTCTCTGTGTGTGTGTCTGTGTCTCTTGTGTCTGTGTGTGTGTGTGTCTGTGTCTCTGTGTGTGTGTCTGTGTCTCTTGTGTCTGTGTGTGTGTGTGTCTGTGTCTCTGTGTGTGTGTCTGTGTCTCTTGTGTCTGTGTGTGTGTGTGTCTGTGTCTCTGTGTGTGTGTCTGTGTCTCTTGTGTCTGTGTGTGTGTGTGTCTGTGTCTCTGTGTGTGTGTCTGTGTCTCTTGTGTCTGTGTGTGTGTGTGTCTGTGTCTCTGTGTGTGTGTCTGTGTCTCTTGTGTCTGTGTGTGTGTGTGTCTGTGTCTCTGTGTGTGTGTCTGTGTCTCTTGTGTCTGTGTGTGTGTGTGTCTGTGTCTCTGTGTGTGTGTCTGTGTCTCTTGTGTCTGTGTGTGTGTGTGTCTGTGTCTCTGTGTGTGTGTCTGTGTCTCTTGTGTCTGTGTGTGTGTGTGTCTGTGTCTCTGTGTGTGTGTCTGTGTCTCTTGTGTCTGTGTGTGTGTGTGTCTGTGTCTCTGTGTGTGTGTCTGTGTCTCTTGTGTCTGTGTGTGTGTGTGTCTGTGTCTCTGTGTGTGTGTCTGTGTCTCTTGTGTCTGTGTGTGTGTGTGTCTGTGTCTCTGTGTGTGTGTCTGTGTCTCTTGTGTCTGTGTGTGTGTGTGTCTGTGTCTCTGTGTGTGTGTCTGTGTCTCTTGTGTCTGTGTGTGTGTGTGTCTGTGTCTCTGTGTGTGTGTCTGTGTCTCTTGTGTCTGTGTGTGTGTGTGTCTGTGTCTCTGTGTGTGTGTCTGTGTCTCTTGTGTCTGTGTGTGTGTGTGTCTGTGTCTCTGTGTGTGTGTCTGTGTCTCTTGTGTCTGTGTGTGTGTGTGTCTGTGTCTCTGTGTGTGTGTCTGTGTCTCTTGTGTCTGTGTGTGTGTGTGTCTGTGTCTCTGTGTGTGTGTCTGTGTCTCTTGTGTCTGTGTGTGTGTGTGTCTGTGTCTCTGTGTGTGTGTCTGTGTCTCTTGTGTCTGTGTGTGTGTGTGTCTGTGTCTCTGTGTGTGTGTCTGTGTCTCTTGTGTCTGTGTGTGTGTGTGTCTGTGTCTCTGTGTGTGTGTCTGTGTCTCTTGTGTCTGTGTGTGTGTGTGTCTGTGTCTCTGTGTGTGTGTGTGTGTGTGTGTGTGTCTGTGTCTCTTGTGTGCGTGTGTGTGTGATCCTTCACTCAGATGTGTGCCTGATTGATGTCTCAGATCCAGATCTTTCTCTCCTCGTCGTTCTCGCTCTGGTTCTCCCAGACGCTCCAGATCTGTGACGCCCAAACGCTCCAGGTGAGTAACTGATGCATGGTGATGTAACAGTGATTCAAAGAGAGTGTGTGTGTGTGTGTGTGTGTGTGTGTGAATGTTCTAAAACACATTTCTGAATGTGACGACACATGAAAGCGTCACCTCACCAAAACTGCTTCAGATGATCTTCATCCTTATGAATGTCATTGCTTCTGCAATTACTGTGTGCATTATTATACTTACCTTAAACCATTGAAAAAAGTTTTACTTAAAATAAATATAAATGTTTACTGAATTAAAATAAAATATATATATTAAAAAAATTTGTAAATATTATTTATAGTCATATTTAAAAATTAATAAAATTACAGAACATCTAACAAAATTACAAAAACTTGAACTAACATTAAAATGAAAATATAAAAATGTAAACTAATTTAAATGATCAATAAAAACAATACTAGTGTTTCAGTGATAGTAAGCTATCACTGCTGCAGTTGAATGGATTGATTGTTGGTTTGCCTCCTCCAGGTCTCGCTCTCGCTCGCGGTCCGGCTCGGCTCCCAGGAGCAGGTAACACACATACACTGCTGCGCGTCACCAGTTATTATCGCTGCATGAACTGTGTGTTTGTGTTGATGGGCAACTTCTGCTTCTTTAGATCTGGTTCAGCCAGGAGATCCAAATCCGGCTCTGCGGCTAGGAGGTGAGAATACACACACACATCATCATTATCATCATCCTGAGTCTTGCTGTAAGCATAAGACATTAATGTAAATGTGACATGCATAAATGATGGAAAAGCATGAACATACTTTTCTTGCATTGTGATGTTTTAATGCCAAAAATCTGAATTTCATTGAATTCATTGTTCGTAAGAAGTTTCTTCTGCTCAGCAAGGCAGTTTATATAATAAAAAATACAGTACAAAATGTGAAATATTATTAGAATGTAAAACAGCTGTGAATATGTGTTAAACTGTAATGTATGTCTGTGATGCGCAGCTGTATTTTCAGCATCATTACTCCAGTCTTCAGTGTCACATGATCTTCAGAAATCAGTATAATATGCTGATCTGCTGCTCCAGAAACATTTCTGATTATCATCAATGTTGAACACAGTCGTGCTGCACAATATTTTTGTGGAAAGCGTGGAACTCTACCATTTAAAAGTTTGGGGTAAAATAAAAAGTGATCAGCAATATACTGTGGTGCTAGCCCATGCAGAGCTTCATAAACAACAGCAAAACCCTCAAATCAACTCTGAATCTAACTGCTAGCCAGTGTAAGGAAGCGATAACAGGGTTGATGTGCTCTCTCTTCCTAGTTCTCATCAAAAGTCTAGCTGCTGCATTGTAGACCAGTTGCAAATGATGGATAGAGGAATGAGATAGACCTATATAGGGCTGGGCGATATGGGCGAAAATTCATATCTCTGTATTTTTTGGCCAATTTGCGATATACGGTGTATATATATATCTCAGTATTTTTGTATTTGGATTTTTTAAAAAACTATATTTAATATATATATTTCACGTACCGCCCAATGTTGTCTAATGAAACAATACATATTAAAGGCTATGAAAAAACAAATAAAGCGAATGTAACCAAAGGTTAAAATCATATTTCATTCTAACATTGTAACATTGCAAACTAAAAACAAAAATAATGCTTTTAAAGCAGAAGTTAAATTCAATAAGCTAAAAATTAAAATAAATAGGCTAAGAAAATGTATTTACCCCATTACAGTTAGTACTACATCATAAAAGTACACTTCCTTGTAGGTTTAAAATTCTACATATGTCACATTTATTGTCCAACTATAAATATTTCAGTGAAATGTATATTTTAGTCAGAATTATTGTGCTCCTACTTCATTGCGCGTCTTGTTTGCTGAAGTCTGTGAAGTTTAGCGGAGAATCAAAAGCAGAAGGCTCATGCCGTTCTGACAGCAAAATGGAAATATTTCCATGACTTTCTAACATTTGCAGAATGAAAATATGTCTGTGAAATGTAAGTTATGCATTTAGGAAAACCGCACATCTCAAACACATTAAACGGCACGAGTAGCGTCTCTGTTAGCGGCGCTTTGAACTATACCAAAATATAAACTGTACTTTGTCTTCCGTGTTTTTTAGAGCCCTTAATATAAAGCTCGTCACATGTTTAGAACAATTTAGATTACGCACTTTCTCCGCAGCAGCTCAGTCTGTGTCCTCCGCTATATTTTTCAGATGCGCTCGTATCAAACTCCTGTATATCGCTATAAGCGGTATTGCCTCATCGCTTATAAAGAATATATCGGATAAACTCGACATACTGCTCAGCACTAGACCTATATATAATTAATTACAGTAATCAAGCTGTTATGTAATAAGTGCATGGATCACTACTTCTAGGTCTTTCTTTGAGAGGAACTGTTTTAATTTGGCGATGGATCAGAGATGAAAGAAGCTTCCTTTGATGATAGAATTTATCTGCTTATCAAATAAGTCAGAATCAAAGATAACGCCTAGGTTCTTGACTCTGTTGTGCAGTGTTAAAGACTTGATTTCCAATATTAGCGACACATAATGAAGATCCAAAAGCAATGGCCTCAGTTTTGTCTCCATTTAGCTTTAGGACGTTTTGTGCCAACCACATTTTAACTTTATAGATTTATGATAGATTTTCCATTGCTGGACTTGACAGGAAGATAAAATTGTGTATCATCAGCATAAGAGTGATAAGATGCATCATATTTCTGAAAGATAGAGCATAAAGGAAGCATGTATTTTAACAAAAAAGGAGAGGACTCAGAACGGAGCCTTGTGGGACACCACATCTGATCGATGTTGAGGATGAGTTATGCTTGCCAATATTAATTGAGGATGTTCAATCTTTGGGATACGATGAGAACTAACTAAACGCAAGCCCCGGGGCCATATGCAAAAAATGTGTACACCGATTAACTTAACTTATTGTTGATTTTTCTGAAGTAAATAACGTTACGTGACTATTCACAAACTGTTTTATTTACGGTATAAATGCTTGGAAATAATATTCAACATTTTCAGGTCCATTCATTATTTGTAGCACGCAAGCCACCCAATAACCACAAGAAGTATCAGCCTTCTGTCCATTAAATTATAAAATACAAACGATAAATGTGTGTTTACGCTCTTTAATTTGTAGTGAGAACTATATTCGCCTCAGTGCAAGCGGCATGTGAATTAATTATATTTTCCTCTTTAATATTTGCAGCATGAAATAAACATGAATAAATATTTGAATGCATGTTGAAAAAACAAATCAGAACAATTTAATACAAACGAGCGTCTTATGTAATCGATCAATCAGAGTTTCAAAAATCGTCAATAAGCCTAAGTTTTATTGCTGTTTTGCATGTTAAATGTTAAGAATGACAGGTTGGATGCCACAGACACGGGTTTTTTTGGCGGCGGTGGAATATTCACATTAACTTCATGCAATAAAACATGATTTTATTATCAGAATTTTGACTTTATTCTTAAAATATTATGATGTTAATCTTATTTATTTCGTTTTTAATCTATTTGTACTGCATGCAAACACAATCTTGGCACAGAAGCCAAAAACAAACAAAAAAAAGTATATTTGATATGAGATATTTGACTTATTTATTAATAAACTAGTGTTTTCTGAGTCAGAGTCGCAAAAATAAAGTAGACGATCCTAACTCACCATCTCTTCACTGGACGCACCTTTAAAGAGAAATATTTTACATATTACTGGATGAAAGAGTTTTTGATTTAAATGTTAATTTTAAAGTAGTAATTCAAAGCTTTCTATAGCTATATTTATCATGTCTGTGAGGCAAGTATTCGCTGAGTTTCGGTTCATCATTGTGAAGCGCTCCTGCTCAAGACCGAGACGGCAGAAAGCGCATCATGTTTATTTTCCTTATTTTAAAAAAGCACAACATTTTGTTGATATTGTGAGTACACACAAGTAAAAGCAGACCCTTTGCGGTTCCAAATGATGTATTACTCTTACCTTCATGAGCAAAAATGACGGCGTATTTTAAGTTTCCACTCTTAAGAAAAACATTTATCACACCGGCGCCTCCATGTTCGCACAAATGATTGGTATGCGTCTAACAGCGCACATTTATCTAGGTTACTTTTTTAAATTAATATTGTGAAATGCATGAAGTGTTTTATATCTATAGATTTTATTTTAGGCAAGTCGTGATGATTTGAGAAGGCTAAATTGATCAAACATATGCTCAACCCACTGTCTGCCGCTGGCCACTTGGTCGTTACTTTAAAAAAACTTGAATTTAACAAACATAAAATGTTCCAAACATATTTCTAAATTAACGTAATAAAGAAATACAACCACTTTGACCATTAGATGCATTAATGCTGCATTAGAAACATGCAGTTAACTAGTTTTTTGATGCAAAGGTGATATAAAATACAGAATAGTGTTATAAATGTACATACATTTAAAAAAAAAAATACAAATATGAAAAACTTTCGAGGATTTACGATGCTAATGCATCATCACAGTCTTATGAAAAGGGTCCTAGCCTTTGCAAATAAACACTCCACTATTAGTACAAGTCTGTTATCTTTACAGAAAACACACTCGGTTTAAAAGTCAATCATCTGATTTTACTGTGCATAAAAAAATGCACTTTATGAATTACACAGATGGGAGCACGGCGCGATAAAAATAACTCATGGTGCCATACAAACATACATTTAAAAAAAAAAATACAAATATGAAAAACTTGAGGATTTACGAGCATAAAACATGTCATCACAGTCTTGTGAAAAAGCGTCCATATCCTGAATTGTATCCACAAACAATTCAAGGAACTTTTTGCAGATCTCAGGTGGAGTAGTCAGTGGAGTAGCCTAGAGTTCAGGACAGAATCGATTGTTCTAAAAACGACCTGAAAAGTGACAGTAAAGACATTTATAATGTTACAAATCGTTTCAAGTAGATGCTGTTCTTTTGAAGTTTCTATTTATCTGTGAATCCTGAAAAATAAAATGCATCACGATTTCCACAAAACTGTTTCTTGAGCAGTAAATGGGTGTATGAGAATCATCACGAGATGTTAACTTTTTGCAGATCTCAGGTGTTACAGTGGAGTAGCCTAGAGTTCAGGACAGAATCGATTGTTCTAAAAACGACCTGAAAAGTGACAGTAAAGACATTTATAATGTTACAAATCGTTTCAAGTAGATGCTGTTCTTTTGAAGTTTCTATTTATCTGTGAATCCTGAAAAATAAAATGCATCACGGTTTCCACAAAACTGTTTCTTGAGCAGTAAATGGGTGTATGAGAATCATCACGAGATGTTTAGATGGGTTTGTGTTGAGCTGTCGCATGCAAACAGCAAAGCCACCGACGCACTTCCCGCGCTTGTTAAACCTAAGAGGCGTTTTTGCTTAAATCTCAGCTGCTCCAAATCTAGAGCTTCGCCTCCGAAGCAGAGGTATGAGAAACTCACGCTCAACACCAGCGTTTCTTGTGTTCCGCTTGCAGCCGATCTGCGTCTCGAAGCCCCGCGAGAAGTGAGAGTCCAGAGCGAGACGACTGACGCTCTTCTCAAGAACCTCAGTTTCTCATCAGACGTTTACTGCAGTACGTATAAAGATGTGCGTTTGATTGTAAGGAAGCTCCAGAGAGGAGCGGAAAATATTTTGAGTTGATTTTTCTGTAGCTGAAGAGAGTGTGTGTGCTTTTGTACCTGTTTTGTTGTGTAGCACACACACACACACACACACACACTGGTTGGGGTTTTGTATGTGTGTATTAAATGAAGTGAAAAAACCACTTCCCGTCTGAGAGATTTCTTCACGCTGTTCCAGCAGGTGGCGCTGTGGTTCAGTACTCTAGAGAGCGCTCTGGAGCCGTTACACAGTCTGTGTGTCTCTCTGTCCTCTGCTCTGTTTCTCAAGCGTCTTTAGCAGCCTGAGATATCCCACAATCCTGTTTGTTCTGGATCAGAGATTCACAAACTTTTTCATCCTTCGAACCTCTTTGAGCTTCAGTGTGTCGTGTCCTTGACGTCCATAGGAGATTTTTTAAGTTTGCATTATTTAAATATTAAAAGCATTATTAATCAACTCGTTGATGTTGGTTAATGGTCACGTGACATGCAGATAAACAAGTTAAATATTTACACTCTAATTTATTTTTGGGCGAGTGTTTAATTTTTTTAATTGTTTGTAATAGCTTACAATTATTTACTTAGAGAACATGTAAGAACTCGCCGGCATTTCAGGGTTGAATCACGGTATTTATTTCTTACATAATTTAGTAATTGAATTAATATTGACATCAAGTTGTTCCGATGTCTTTTCCTCATGGGTGTTATAAATGTTGTTTTATAAATATTTTAACTTTTACAACCATTTAGCTTTAAACATTGTATCAATTTTTTTTTTGTTACGTTTTTTACAACTGTTGCGCTGTAATCATTGTTTCAATGTTGTTTCAGTGGGTTTTGCAACATTGAAACAGCAGCTGACATCATTTCAGCTGACTTATGATCAGTTTGTTCACTTTTTTTGCAAACCAAAAAGTGTTTTAATATTTGAACTGATTTCATTTTCATTTTTATTATTAAACAGAGTTTATCATCAGCTCATATGTGAACATTACACTGAACTATATGGATAACCATCTCTAGTAGTGAGACAAACAAAACAAATGCACTGCATCAGTGTCTCAGCAATGGATGCTCTGCAGTGAATGGGTGCCGTCAGAATGAGAGTCCAAACAGCTGATAAAAACATCACAATAATCCACAAGTAATCCACAGCACTCCAGTCCATCAGTTAACATCTGGAGAAGACAAAAGCTGAAACAAATCCATCATTAAGATGTTTTTAACTTTAAAATTTTTCTGACCAAAATATAATCCATAATCCATAATAACTCTTCCTCCAGTGAAAAAGTGCAGTGCCGTCAGAATGAGAGTCCAAACAGCTGATAAAAACATCACAATAATCCACAAGTAATCCACAGCACTCC